AATTTTTCATATGATACTCTTTTAGGAAAATGCTCGATTTAATCATGGACCGTCTCTTAATACCACCAGAAACAATATACAGCAAAAAGAAGATTTAAATAAGCTAAGTGATATATTAATTAAATCAAAATATCCAAAATACTCGATTGAAAATACAATTCAAACGTGCCTAAAACAAGTAAATAACAATACAATACCAACTACAAACACAACTCAAACTGTAAAAAATAAGAAAAATGATATGGAATACAGCTTATTATTACCTTATGTCAATAAAATGGAGATTTTAAAACGGAAATTAGAAAAGCTTAAAATGAAGTTATACTTTGGTTATCCTTAAAAATTGATTTTTTTAGTCACATCAACTATTAAACTACAATCAAAATCAGCGGTGTATCAAATTGAATGTGAATGTGGTGCAATATATAATGAAGAAACTAAAGTGGATTTAAGAAATAGATCCAAACAACATGATAGAATAATAGAAAAAGATGATGAAAATGCCAATTCAGAGATGGTTCAACATAACCACTCAAAACATTGACAATGCATGTTTAATTCAAATCTATCATTTATAATAGAGAATGATACTGATTATAGAAGAAGAAGATTAAAAGAAGCAATTTACTCAATAATTAATGACTCAATTAACAAACATGATAATATTGACAATGCACGGAACAACATTCTAGACAAAGAACGAACCAAAATCAAACAAGATATTAAATTTCAGCAGAAATTCAATACTTTCGAACAAACAAAATGATTTCAAAGAACAAGACGGTAATAGTGGTATGGACGATAAAAAGTTCAGCTTTATCGTGTCAGACTATTACCGCCTTGTCCATATCACTATTAGATTAAAAGAAAAGAGATAGATGAACTCGACTATACATATATGTTCATTAACTTAGAAAAAAAGATTCAGATTTATTTTCAAGAAAGTATCTACTGGTAATTTATTTTTAAAGTTTCGTTACTTTGCTTATGAAAGAATAAAAAAGACTTGATGAACCTTCACATTTCTTTCTTTCTCTTTCTCGTGTTAGTAACCATTGTAGGTAAACCTTGAAGCGAAAAAAAAATATTTCTTCTCATTCTCCTCTTGTCAGCACAGCGAGAAAGATTACAGTAGAGAATTTCTTTCAATCTCGAACCGTACATATAGTGGCATTTGTACTGAATCACTCTTAGAGACATCTGACAAGGTGTTTCTAGTAGAAACAAGACTAAAATAGAAAGAGAATGGCGTCATTTGCCATTGTATAAAAGCGAGCATTTTACATAGAATTGTTATTCTTTATTAAACTACACACATTCTCTTTATTCATTTTTTTTTACAATGGGTAAGAATCAGTCGAAACAGAAATTCAGCCACTGGGATTTAGATCGATTTAGCAATATTACCAGTAAGGATTCAAGTATTATTATGTTCTAAAAATGTCTGAATGAATTTAGAAATTCCCCGAGATAAAGTTGAAAAGCTCTATCAAGAATTTATAACGTCTTCAGGCAACGACAACAGAATGGACAAGAAGGAATTTCGTCGTTTGTACAAAGAAATGTATTTAAGTCGTCAAGTTGGTAGTGAACAAGGTAGTCCGTCTGCCCCAGCGATGTGGAGTGAACACGATTTGGAGAAGATGTCAGATCATGTATTCAAAGCTTTTGATAGAGAAGGATCGGGTACGATTGAAATGTATTTATTTAATATATATCTTTTTTTGTATATTTCAGGCAAATTGAGCTTCGAAGGTAGCTGAAAGTTTAAATCTTATCGTTTAAAATATATATTTTGTTCTCGACAGATTTTGTTAATGCTTATTTGCTACTTGAGAATAGGCCAGGTGCATCGACAAGTGCTGTATTGTCCCGCGATCGATTCAATTACATCATGGATCACAATAATCCGACACCAGGTGAATATATTCTCTTTTATTCTTTTTCAATTTTTTTAGTTTTTTGTGTATTTTATAGGGTACGTCTCACGTGAACATGGTGAACAATTGCTCAATCGTCTAAATCTATGTGGCACGTAGGTCTTTCTTCTCTCATTATTTCACATTGATCTAACGAACGGCTATTTTTCTCCGTTCTTATTTGAGTAGGGATGACATAGAAAAACCAGGACAGACTACAACATGGGAACATCATTGGAACAAAATCGATGATGGCAGTGGCCCGTGAGTTCTCTTACTTTTTCTATTCTTATCATTTATCTTAATCAATTCATAGTGTCACGCAAGAGAAATTTGTCGAATATGTCACCAATTCGAATGATCACAAATGCAGTTTTAAATCAAGTACAGCATAAATGAATACATGCAACAAATGACAGCAAACAGTCGAACTCTTTGTTTTCTTTTCACTTTTTCATTTTCTATTATTTCATCTCACATGTCATAAATGTCGACTAAAGTTATTTTTAATCTTGCTACAAACTTTATCTTTTGTTTCGTTTTCTTTTTTTGAAATTGGTAATGCTATATAATAATGAGTACCATCTTTGGCAAATCTATACATTTTATAGAATGATACAGTTACTTCAGTTTGGAATAGAACATGTACTGCTTGAAATTTTTCAATCTGCGATTGTAGTGGCCTCACTAGACAACATTTGTAGGATGTAGAGTCCTCAAATCCTTTAAAATTCAAAAGGAGATAGTATGATTTTTGTTCCAACAAAGTACTGAAAAGAATTGAAGAGAAGTTCAAGCGTTCATTGGTCTATTAATTCTACTATTATTTTCATGAATAGTTCGTTCAAAAATCGCGTGGAATCGCTAATAAACAGTAGTCATGTTATCATTACTCTAGTCAACATGTCGATGGTAAGTATTCGAAAACATACTAAACAATTTCAAATCTCCAGAGATTACTTTCAATATTTTAGGCAAGTACTCTTAGAATTACTTAATAAACACTGGTTTTCTTATAAGAAAAAGAATAAATACATGGAATAACATTTATTATAAAGTACTTTTTCGAGTACTGAATAAATGATAACATATTACAATTGTGTAGAGAATTCTTTAAGTGAGAAGAATTCCAAACGAAGTGTTATAGAGAAGGGCTGACTCTCATTTCAGGTACTTTTTCATTTGAGTTATTTTATAAATAAACAAGCATTTGTAAATATATTCTTTTGCTTCAATTTAAAATAATTTTTTTTTTGAGAAAGAAATTCTTTGCAAATATAAGTAAATGATTATTTTCTTATTAGATTCATGATTATTGAAGAACATCTTTAGAAAAATAAGTAAAATTTTACTTTTCTTATATCTCTATAGTTTATTTTTCTGCTGTAAAGTTAGAATTTTACAACAAGAAAATATTCTAAAGTTAGTAAAGATCTTATTGCTTAAATCAAAGAATGAATCTCCAAACTTTATCTTTCATTCCCAACATTAGAATATTTAAGCAAAAAGTATTCTAACATTAGGAAGTGTTTTATTGCTCAAATCAAAGAACGCAGCTTCAAAGTTGAGTTGTTGTATCTAATGTTAGAATACTTAAGCAAAAAGTATTCTAACATTTGGACAGATTTATTATTCACATCCAGCGTTAGGATATTCAAGCAAAAAATAACATTCTCAAGTTAGCCGTCATATGATTCATTATTGAATCTAGATTTTGGATCAGAGCTCCAAAGTTTGTTTTTTATCTTCAACGTTCGGGTTCTTATGCAAAATTTATCCTAAAGATGATAATGATGTATGTTGTCGTGTTTGAATTTTAGCTCATTATTCCATAGTATGTCTTTTATCTCAAAAATGAAGATTTCAAAGTGAAAAGCTATTCTAATATTGCTAACTTAAATCTCTATAATTGGCTCTTTCTTCACTCAGATTTAGGACATACTCATTTAGAGAATGCGATCATGAACCCAAAAAAAGTAGATAATCATTTAACTCATATGAAATGAATAAAATATCAGCCAAATTGCCTTTTCAAAAGTATGATAATTGTATTAAGCAACAAATAGTATTTTTTTATAAAAAATTCAACGCTTAAATATCCTATCAATGAAGCTTTTTTAAAACTAATAATCGTCAATAATTATGTAGTTTATACATCTTTGAAAGTGTTTGAAGAACAAGAGCAATAGAAATAAGAATATTGAATAGGGTGCAGGTGTGGGGTGGGGTATTAGTAAAATACGCTCTCATTCACTCTGACCGTCGTTGGATTCGATGATAGTATCAATAGATAGAGTATAAAATTTTCCATTCAAGAAACCTCACTCTGATCTTATAGCTTCTAAAAATTATATGATAATATTAATAGTTGATTATAAAAGTTTATTTCCTAAAATAGCATAGGTTAAGAACATTCTTTCAAATTGAGATATTGATAAAAGAGATAAGTATTCGATACTGGTACACTATCACTGACCATTGGTCTAAAAGCGAGCTTTTATATTGTTGAAATGGTTAAATAACATTCCCCTTTAAAATATTATTGCATTGAAAATGTTTTCCTTTAAGATCGATCGTGCCAGCAGTTGAAATAATTTTGACTTTGTTCAAGACAAGATAGATCTCATTATTATCATTGAAATGAACCATACATAATATAAAATCAATTGAACAAGGATTCTTTTTTGACTTATACAAGATACAAGAGTCATTAGAATGTCGCACTCCTGGAAAAGAGTGTGAATGTGGGTACGTCGAATGAACAATATACTCATACCTACATCCCATACCCTATCGATGGTTCGAAATATTCATATTTTATATAGTGTTTGTGAAACATCGCTCATATTTAAAAAATTCTAAAATTTTATCGACAATCTAGTGTGACTGCGACCTTGATGAGGACAAATTTTTAGATCAAAACTCGATAGAGCAATTTTACTGGAAATCTTGCATTCAATGGAAAGAACGGCTGAAAAATTCGATATATTGACAGCGTAGATTTTGAGAAAATGAATCCTTTTCAACTTTTTATATTTCAGGGTGGGTGTGGGCGTGGGTGTGTTGTTCTTAATTCAACCCACACTCACTCTTAGAGTGAACCTCAGCAAAGTGTGTGTTAGTTGAGGAGGAGTGAGTCATGTCCGTTGAGGTTAGACCCCGGCTAATTACTGACCTTCTGGGTAGGCTCTAAAAGCTCGGCCAGGAACTATCTTTGTGTCCGTGTCACACGATCGGGCTTACGCAGACTCATTGACATATCTCTCGAGTAGTAGAAATGTGAATGATTTGAGTCTGTCCCGTACGTGCATGAGCGTTACGTTCGCCACGGCTCCACCAGGATGGTTCCTGGTCGTGCGCGAATAGACGAGACATTCTTTTCATCAATTCAACATGATTTATTTGAAAGAAAAGAAAAAAAATTCATCGTACTGAGTCTATTCGATTGAAAAACGTTGAACACGATGATTCTTATAATCGACGACATAGAGATTGACATGTCGATCGAAAGACAAACTGACCGGCCAGCTGAACTGATTAGCTCCTTTTCCCATACCATTTCCACCCACAATGATAGTGCCTTGTTTCGCTCCTTTAGGCCAACGTATCACTCGATGATTTCCATGGTCTGTCACATAGAGGGTACCCAACGTATCGACGAACAGTCCTTGAGGATAACACAATTGTGTCAGAGCATTCCCTTTGGTTTGATTTCCAGCGACGACAATTCCTTCTTGTGCACCTTTATTCCATTTCATCACACGATGATTGTCACGATCTGACACGTAGACAGTCTGTTGTTGATCGACAAAGATGTGGGAGGGCCAGTTGAGTTGATTGAGATCAGCACCTTTGCCATTGCCGCCAGCCACGATAGTTTCATTCTTGTCTTCTATTTGATATTGTCTTACTTCATGTTTGACGAAGTCAGAGATGTAAAGATATCTCTGATCATCCATGGCCAATCCAAAACAACGGATGTTGTTGATGAGGATTTCTCCTGAAGTTGTCCCGCTACGACGAGACCATCGTACTACTCGTTGATTCGCGTAATCACAAATAATAAGACTATCTGTCTCTTTGTCGATCAGCACATCGGTTGGTTCATTCAATTGATCCAATCGATTTCCCTCATCATTGCCACCAGCTACTACTTGTCCATTCGTATCATTCATCTTCCATTGGATGATACGATCATTACCTGAGTCAGCGATAACCATCGTTTGATCATCATCAATGGAGAGACCTATAGGCTCGTTAAGTTGATTGGTAGCATTGCCTTGTCCATGGTTTCCAGCAACGGGCACCCCATTCTGTTTCCATCGGGCATTGGCTGGAATATTGGGAATTACTACAATGAACGAAAAAGAAAAGAGATCGTCCTCTCTCACAGAGAAAAGAGCTATGAAGAAGACATTCGTCTTCTTCGAAGGAAACTTGGTAAAACTTTCAAGAATGTTATTTCTTCAAATAAATATTCAGAAACCTTTTCCTAGTTTCCTATGAAAAAAGGACTCCGTAACAATTTTTACATCTTCGTCGCTTTTAGTTCTTGCCAAGATCTTTTTGATTCTAAAAACTACACCTAGAGATTGCTGTACGGAGATTTTTCGATGCAAACTTTTGATAGAAAAACATTGGGATCTGAAGATTTTATTTGGAATTGCGAGAATCCAGAATCTTTTGCAGCATGATCATCTATATGAACATCAGACAAGAATTTCAGGAATAAAATAATGAACTATGTGAAACTCCTAAACTGGAAAAATTCTAAGACGATTTTATATGAATCTTGATAGAAGGATGTTGAACAGCTAATGTCAAACGTAATTTCTATGTTTTGGGGGAACCTTAAGGATCAGTATGTTGCTAGGATCTTGACAAGATCATAAGAAGATTTATATGCATGGGAACTGAGTAAATTTGACAGGACTTCACGTGCATCTTTGGAATCTCATACTTCCTATATTTGAGATACTGACAAGGGAACATTCCTAACTGTTAATCGTTGATTGAAGTGATATTTTACTCATTAGTAATATCCAGTGAGACTAGGAAAAGTCTAAAAGGATTTGTTCTCATAGGCCTTCCTTCAGAAGTTATGACAATTTTATGAAGTTTCCAGCTTATAGGAGTCTATTAATTAAAAAATCAAAAAGCAAGAATTCTGATCTGAGATTCTGCCTATATATAGATCTTATGATCTTTATGGCATGCTGAAAGTTTCAGTCACAACGGATGGTTCCTTCTCGAGATATTGAATACTAAAGAAGAGTCGTTTTTATGATAGTTTTTGTCACATATGATCGTGTTTATAAGCATTCAATATCCCGAGAAGAAACCATCCGTTTTGACTGAAACTTTCAGAATATTCTAAAGATTAAAAGACCTATTT